TCTCGCTAGCTCAGGAGCTGCATCTTCACTGCTGTCTTGGTGGACCCGGGGATGCCCGTTAACTGCTTCTGAGGTCTTCTGAAGCCTCACGTGCACACACACACAGCCCAGCGGAAGGAACAAGCACCGCATTTACACAGCTCGCAGCTCCTGGAACAATTCTAGCATTTTTTTAGGTCTATTTGCAATTCTACTTATTCAAACAGAAAATAATCCTTTTCCTTTCAAAATATTATTTTCAAGTATGGACTGTTTGGGTAAGCGACATCTTACATAGTTACATATATGGACGTACATATGTATACATCTTATGTATATGTTTATGCCTTTAGCAGTCTCCAGTCTTATAAAAGAGACAAGAGGAGTTTTGGTTTAGCAGCGATTTGATAGTTTAAATACATAAAATCCCCTTTTGGATGATAAAAGCTCTTACTATTCTGCTTTATACAAATCATAGGCTGAAGTAACTAAGATGCTAGCCCCGTCTTTGACAAGGCTTTGGTAAGAAAAGCAAGGAAGCTGCCCTCAGTGACCACAGAACAGAACTATCTTTGGAGAACATACTTAACTGGGGAGCTTTTCTTATTGGCACTAGGGAATCCCAAAAAGAAATAATTTCTACAAATCTGCCAAAGAGATACCACCAGATTACACAAGGGAGCTGGTTTGCGACAACCATGATAGGGACTGAGGGCTTTGCCTTCCAGATTGCAGGACTGCAGGCCCAGGACAGAAAGCCGCGTTGCTCTGAGGGGCCTAAATTCTGGAGCAGTAGGTGTGGGTTACTGAGCTTAGTACTAAGGCTTAGTACTCTCAGCTCCCTTCTGTGGCCAGGCTCAGGCTGTCTGTGCTGAAGGAACGGTAGGTGGTGGGACTGGGGCCTTTAATTCCTTTCAGGCCAGAGCAACAGAAAAAGCCTGACAACTTCCCAGGGCAACTCCCTCCTGGGACTTCAAAAATTGACAGCCTTGACAGATCTTTAATGTTTCTTAGACAAATGGATTGATTTGAATGCTGCTGGCAAGTGGAAAACAAAGCAAAATAAAACTTGAAACTAGAATGTGACAACTGGCCAGGCTTATGTTCAAATCATTCTGCAGAGAAGACCCTGGGGAGGGGAGGGGAGGGGCAGGGAGACGGGGTGGGTTACATTCTTTCAAACTGCAGTGAGCACCAGGCACAATGTGTGCCACAAGAGAAAGATCCCAATCGTCCCTGTCCTTAGGGGGCTGGTAGCGCGTGTGGATAATCTAGACACGCTTATTCTCTTCTTCTGTATGGCAGTAAGTCATTACCCTGTGGTATGCTAAGAACTGTCACAGAGATGAATGAGTTGTTCCAGCTGCGTTGAAGGAAATTCTAAGTCACCTTCAGGGGAACAGGGAAGATTTCTGGAATGATATGATTACAGCTGGGTCTTGAAAGAATTTTCCAGGTGGGAGAGGTGAGGGGCATCCCAGGCGCAGGGAATCGTGTGTGCATGGATGAAAGCAGTACCATGCTAAGGGAGGCCCTACATGGTGTGGATGAGTGCCGGGGTCCGGGGGGGTGGTGCAGAGTGCTGGGAAGACAGCTGGGGCCACCTCACCAAGGGGGAGGTCCAGCTTGCTGACTTCCCCCCTGGTCTGCTGTGTGCCAGAGGCTTGCTCTTAGGAGCCAGAGAACATCCACACTGGGGTTTTCTGTTCCCCATAGTGCCGGAGTTGGGGTGTGCTCTGGAAACACGTGGCCCATTACATTGCACTAGATGAAGGGACTAGGGACTTCTTAGCACATTTGATGATTGCTCCTGACTATTCAGCCCCTACCCCCACCCCTGTATCCAGGGGAATTTGAAGGTGGGAACTCCTCTGGTCTTTCATTTAGATACCTTGGTAGACTTGATGATACTTTCCATCTAATAGATTTTATTCAAAAATAAGAACTTTTAGAAACACAAGGTCAGTAACCACAAAGCATACATTCTAGTCTCAGAAAGTAGATAATTAGCCATCTTAGCTTTGTAAGATTTCTTTTTTCCTTTTTAAAGGCTTTATAAAACTACCCAGGTCCCACAGGGTCAAGCAGATTCTAATTGTGCTACTCCACAGATGTACCGTAGGTGAAAGCCGCCGCCCCCACCCCCAAACTGGCTGCTGTCCCACACTCCTGTCTAAAGGCGGTGACATGCAGTTGCTCAGAGCAAGCCCACTACAGACATGATTGTAGGAACTCTCTGGCTACCCCTTGTCCCTCAGGTTTCCCTTGCCCTGGCATATTAAAAATAGGGCTAGGTAACATTAGCATTTCAGTTTGATAGGCTCTTCCTTTATGACCCATCACTATCAGGACCCAGGGCTGGTATGTTTAGCTAGGAAGAGGTCAACTTGAAGGAACCAAGAATCAGGCCCCTGGTCTGTAAATCTGTCTCCGGCATATTTCTCCTTTCTCCCAGAGGGATCTGACTTTTGTGAGGTCTGGTCTGCTCACAGGGTGTGTTCCCCTCTCTGGGATCCCTGCTTGAGGACAATGAGTCTTGTGTCCTCTTGTTAGCTCAAGTCTTCTATTTGTGCCCTTTGGAAGAGGCACTTTCTAAGAGCTAAAAAAAAGTGCCTCATGTGAGTTTCACCTCTCCACAAAGAGTGGGCATTTTAGCCAAAGGCAACAAGAAACACAACACACATGAGGAAGAAAAAAAAAAATGGTACAAAAGCAAAGGAGAAAAATGATAAGGAGATTCTGAAGCAAGTTGCTGCCTCAGAAGCATCTGGACCCCTGATAAAGTGGTTTATATAGTTCTCCTTAGGGTAGATAGTTCTCTCTCATCCACTTCTCTTAGCCTTGGATGTACCCAATTATATAAAAAGAAGGTATACTCAAATTCTAAAGGAAGGTGGGGAACAGGGTTTCTCTTGAGTTTGGTTGCTCCACCTTAATAATCCAACAACTTTTTGGTTTCGGGGTAACCATCACCAGATTGAAAATGGCATGCTGTAGAGGTATCAGCGTTGCTCAGTCGGTTAAGCATCCTACTCTTGATTTTGGCTCAGATCCTGATCTCTTGGTCGTAGGATCGAGCCCCATGTCGGGCTCCGCGCTCAGCGTGGAGTCTGCTTGTCTCTCTCACTCTGCTGCTCCCCCACTTGTGCTCTCTCCTCCCTCTCTCTCTAATAAATAAGTAAAAATGTTTTTAAAAGGCAATAAAAAAAAAAGAAAATGTCATGCTGTAATAGAATAAAGACCAGGGCATTTGACAGAAAACTCCAGAATCCTCTGAGTGGAAAAAAAAAAAAAATCAGTCTGAGCCTAGGAAAGTCTTTGTGTAATCCCTGGGCAGTGGTTCTTATTTTTGCCTCTCCTGCCCTGGAGACATTTGACAATGTCTGGAGACATTTTTGGCAGAATTGGGGGGATATTATGGGCATCTAGTGGGGAGAGGCTAGGGATGCTGCTAATTTTACAATGTATAGGACAGCTCCCCAGTGAGAATAATCCAGCCCAAAATGTCAGTAGCACCAAGGTTGAGAAACCCTGAGCTAGGGCTAGATCGTAGTTGACTACTTAAGTCTGTACTTTTTTTTTTTTCCCCCAGCATTTTATTTATTATTTTTAAAATTTTTTTATTTAAATTCAATTTAGTTAACATATAGTATATTATTAGTTTCAGGGGTAGAATCTAGTGATTCATCAGTTGCATATAACACCCAGTGCTCATTACATCGGATGCCCTCCTTAATGCATCATCTAATTACCCTATCACCCACCCACCTCCTCTCCAGCAACCCTCAGTTTATTTCCTAGAGTGAAGAATCTCTTATGGTTTGCCTCCTTCTCTGTTTTTATCTTATTTTATTTTTCCTTCCCTTCCCCTATGTTCATCTGTTTTGTTTCTTAAATTCCACATATGAGTGAAATCATATGGTATTTGTCTTTCTCTGACTGACTTATTTCTCATAGCAAAATACTCTCTAGCTTCATCCACATCGTTGCAAATGTCAAGATTTCATTCTTTTTGATGGCTACAGGACAGACTACTACCTCTTAAGGATAGAAACCAAGTTCTTCTTTCCTTTTCTTTTCTTTTTTTTTTTTTTAAGATTTTATTTATTTATTTGAGAGAGAGAATGAGACAGAGCATGAGAGGGGGGAAGGTCAGAGGGAGAAGCAGGCTCCCTGCCAAGCAGGGAGCCCGATGCGGGACTCGATCCCGGGACTCCAGGATCATGACCTGAGCCGAAGGCAGTCGCCCAACCAACTGAGCCACCCAGGCGCCCCTTCTTTCCTTTTCTAAGCACAGTTGAGGAAAAAGCATGGTCAAGCTAAATGATTCAGTCCCAATTGTTCCAATTTGGCTAAACCTCAGAGCCTAATCTCAAAGTCCTTGCACTTTCTCTCCTGGACGATTTCCTTTACATTACTTTTCTCCTGGAAAAATACTCCAACTCCATAGTTCCTGTTAACTTCCAGAGAAGACCCTGAATCAATCATACCCTAATTACAAGCATGCCTCAGTGGAAGAGTGTATAAATACGTGAGTCCGAATTGCTCAAGGTTCACACTGACAAACGGGCTCACCCCATAAACCTGAAATGGCATGTTACAGTCTGAGGCCCATCCAAGTGGGTGTGAGAGGGCCCTCATGAATGCAGGTGCCCCTGAGGGGTGAGATTTGGAGCTTCACTCCTTTGGGGCTGCCCTCCCCATTGCTCCTTGGGAAACAGCCCTTGTTAGCTGCCTGTGTCTTTGAGAAGTGAGCAGGAGGGGACAATTCTGGCCAAGTTTCTATAATCAGCCTCCAAATGAACAGGTTTGCCTTGGACTGCCATGGTGTCTCACTCCAAGGGGAGAGCTGGGCCCAGCCTGGCCTCCTCGGAACAGCAGTTCGGGGTGAACCATGCAGGAAAGGCAGTGGCAAACCTGCATTTGGGCTTTGATCCTGATGTCCTAAGCTTGGAGTTAGTCTCCAGGCTTCTGCTGAGGGGCCCCTCAAGCTCCCCAGCTAGACTAGGAGAGTCTATTGAAGTGCTCTGCTGCAGGCCCAACTACACTGCCCATTCCATGAGTGCCAACTTAGAGCTGAGCCAGTCTAAGAAGATGGCTAATTATTCCCAATGCCACAGTCCACTGTTACAAGTGGAGGTTACTTTTGGATGTCAGACTCAAGTTCCTGCATGGTTTCTTCTGATCCTCTGTAACTGTCCTCAAACACTGTCCCTGCAATGTAAAGTGAGGACGGGCAGTCGTTAGTGTCCGCTTAGAATCATATAAAGTGTTAGCACTGAAAGGATGTTAGCTCACCTAGCCCAACCTATTATTTTATGGCTGAAGAAACCAAGGCCAAAGAAGGGACATGATTTGCTTACATCAGACAGCCAGGAGGAAACAAACTGAGGCCTTGAGCCTAGGTCTTCTGACTATACGGGGAGTATTTATCACAGTATCCCCTGTGACTTGTATAGACCAGCCCAGAGAAGAGATCTGATTACTATCTTTGAATCACAAACAAAATTCTGCCTTATCTATGTGGGCCCAGTCCTTTATCTCCAGGTAGAGTTTTTATGTTTTTTTATTTTATTGAAGAGTTGAAGTATTTTCCATTTAACCCTTGACTACTACATACTCCATTTTGAAGAACAGGAAAAGATAAATTTATATCCAAAAGAGATCACAAAGGGATAATTCTGTACATTTGAGGCATTTCCTAGAAAAGAAGTTGACAGTCATCATCATATACATTCTCAATTTTTAGGAAGGATCATTGTTCACAGATTGGGTTTTCAGACCAGGAAACTGAGGAAAAGAGAGAAATTACCTTAACCAGTGGTATCTGGAGAGGCGAGCACAAAAGGTAAATTCTTGGGCAGTTCTTGATTCCGTAACTGACAGAAGAACCTAATTCTGACCATACGTATGGGTCTGTTCAGAAGGGCATGTTTCTAAAGCTTGCTGGCAAGGGCCTTGAAATACAGTCTTCCTATGTTTAACTAAGCTTAGTCAGTGGTAGTTATAATCTCACACAATAAGAAAAGAACAACAACAACAACAAAGGTACACCAGGTGAGACCAGGAGAGCTGATTCTCGGATAGGTGGGTCAATGAGGTCATCTTTGGATACGATCACCTGGCCTAGTTCAGTCACAAGTGATATAAGGGGATAAAGTAGAACTTTCACAGACCTACCCCTGCTTCTGGCCACTTGCCATTCCCTTATCGAGAGCGGGTCAAGAATCTACAGTGAGAAAGTGAACTTGGAGGTTCGAAGAAGGGTGTGGGCCACAAGAGGGCTCCCTTACCTGTTTCCCTGAACCCCTGGCTTCCAACAGTATCGACATAGGTATTGAACAAATAAAGATGTTCAATGTCCTTCTGGGGAGTTATGGTTACAGATTTAAAAGGAAGAACTGAGCTTTCATAGCATTAAGACTAAACCAAACTTCACGCTTCATTCAGTATAGTTCCTGTGTGCCCATGCTTAAGGAGATGAGACAAAAGAGCAGTGAATGCAGATGCTTTCTTGCCTGATGGTTCCTGCCATATTAGACCATGAGCTGCTGTGGCTACAAATGTGGATTATGCCCACTCTCTGAAGCCTTACGAAGCACCTTCCCTGCACATTGCTGATGCTGGCAGTGCTATGAATCACCTGGCAAGGCTGAAGATGGGCCTTGATGCCAAGAAAGCCTAGGGTAAGAAGTTAGAGTTTGATCTCATGAGAACAGTCCTATAATGTGTCTTAGGAGAAGGGTAGTTCTCCAGAGCAGAGAGGTCCCCCAGAGCATCCTCTCTTCCCCATCTGTGGGAGACTCCCAGATTTAATGAAGGCTCTGGTCCAGGCGCCTAGAGGCCCTGGTTAGGGTTTCCCTGCAAAGGCTCAGGGAAGTCAAGAGCTATGAAGGGTGACCTCAGTAAACTCACACACAGTATCTTCTTAGACACCCTGGTTCCCTTGGCAGACAGAGTGCTCCTAACCCACCTCCTAAGGGCATCAGTGACAAAGCCCAAGGGCAGGGCACCCAACTTCACATTCAATGGGTGTCTTGGCACCACACTCCCCCCACACACCGAATCTTCTCACCTTGCCGGAAAGAGATGTACACCTGCCTCTCCTCAAACTCCTGGACCTGCCGGAAGTTGTTGACCATTTCTCTGGGGGATGGGTCATCCACGTATGTGTAGTACAGAGCAGTCTCCAAAGCCAGCAGCTGCAAGGGGAGCAGCAGAAACATACCCCATGGGCAGAGTGATGCTCTCTTGCCTGACCTCACTGGGAAAGAGACCTCTGGGGCGTGGCAGGAGGCACATCAGAAAGCCGTGGGAAAGCCAGAGAACTGCTCCTCTCCCCTGCTGGTGTCTGGTCGACTGGGCACCGGGTGAGCTGGTCTGTCCCCTCCTCCCAAGGCTTGGAGGGAAGTTAGTGCTCTTAGCTGCTGGGTGGCGGAGGGACTCCTCAGCCTCTCACGGACACGGCATTCCTCTCATGGGCCCGATTTGGAACCCAGCTCTAAGTTAGAGGGGCCTTAGGCTTATTCTGATGGTCTCATCAAAAGGAACAAAAAGGAGGAGGCAAGAGTTTCACAGGTCCTCTGACAACTGGTTCCACAGAATTTTCATATACCCACATAGATTATATAATCGGTTTCCAAGGTGGTTTCTAGGTTAGGGTATTACTGCTTCCCCGCACATTTCATCTCTTGATTCATCACTTCTTTTTTCCTGTCCGCCTACCTGCTGCCATTTATCTACATTACTCAGATCAGTAGCTCATAGTAAAAAGAAGGAGCAACAGTGAGGGCCTTCCTGGATGCGGGAAAAGGGGCCAGGGGCAGGGTGGGCCCGGAGCCCGTGTGTGGCACTGCCCCGGCCATGTCTCCTGGACAGCCAGTTTTCTTCTTGATGAATTTCTGGGGAGCAGAGGGATGGGCAGTGACCAGGAACTCCAGTGTGACTTCGGGGCTTAGCTTTGTGGCCAACCAGTGGGCAATCCCACAAGCTCCCTCATCCATCTACCCCTCACTTTCATCACCTGTAAGATGCGAGGGTCGGAGATGATTGCTGAGGATTCTGTGCCCCCAGTTTTGCACTAGACCATGAGCTTCTTGAGGGCAGAGACCGCCGCTTACTCACTGCTGCAATCCCAGCCCTCTGGTTTGTTACACTATCTAAATGCTCCGTCTTTATTCCGCCCTGTAAAGGAACGGTGCTCTCTCCCGCCACAGAGGAAACACCATCCATCCACTGAGGGAAATATTAGGAAATGCAGCTTAACAACTTGTTTGTAAGGAACTGTGGAGACAGGTTCCTTTTCTTAGCTTGACTCGGTAACTCCACTTTTGAAGCTCAGCCTGTAATTTCTGCCGTGCTTCCAGGCACCTGCGATATTTGAAGAGGTTTGGCTTAGCTGTCAATGAAACTCTAAGTGAGGAAACCAAGTTGGTGATTATGAGCTGGGTGACGGCAGGGACCGAGGTGCCACGTGGTCTCTGACTCAGGAGGGCACAACAGTTACCTGCTCCTGGGAAATTTGCACAGGGTTCCGGAAAACCGTCCAGAGCACGGTGGGGTGGCAAGGAGGTGTGGTCAGGGACCCTTTGTAGCGATAGTACTCATCAGGTCTCTCAGGAAGCAGCTCTTCAATGCTGAAACCTGGAATGAGCACTTCTTGGCCTGGAGAGACATGGTGGAGAAATGGTGTCAAGCTTTCTCCCCATGGCAGAGGTGCTGCTGGGCCTATGACTGAGCCTAAAATATGAAACTGCCCCCTGCATTCATTTTTCTTCAGGTCACATGGGAGTGACTACCTCCTTCTCCAACAGAGGGCGAATATGCATCCAAGGACCCCTTACCTTTGTATCTTACATCTTGAAGGTGCCTGAAGATCTTGTCATAATATGGATTGAAGGAGCCCATCTGCAACAGAGACAGGGCAGGTTGAACTGGGACAGAATTCTGCTGGCTGAGCCTTGTTCGACCTTTGCTCACGAAAGGGCTCATCTAGGGGTACCTAGTTGCCATTGCCAAGATCCTCCCTGGAGGATGCACTTTACCAGGACAATTGATTTGGGGTGATGGTCCTGTTCTCTTGCATCTCAGGATGCAAGGTGCTGAGCAATCAAGGCACTGGGGCCTGCATGTCCCAGGGCAAGGAATATAGCTTGTGCTCCTGATTATCAGGCTGTGAGCCTGAAGGCCACAGCTAGCGTGTTCTTTAACCAGAACTTAAGGGAGCTTGAGTTCACGCAAGCCAAGTCAGGCAAGTAAGCATGTTGAGAAACAAGGTACATGTTGTCTTATTAGGGAAAAACATGCAAGCAAATGAGGAAACATTCCCATTTTCTGGGGTTAAGGAAAGGATGGAACTTGGATATCAGGAGTTGTGTAAGGGATTCAGGCACCTGCTGAGGCAGCACTGAATGATCCCCATCCCCCAACTCCCTATAGATACGTCCTATCCAGCTGGGCTATTCTGAGCTTTATGCATAGGGCTCATAAAGCTATTCTGAGCCTTATGCAACTAGGGCTCATTTTTTCCAATGTTCCAAAGGACATGCCCATTTCTGCTACCCAGCTAAGTGCTGCCTCCAGGCCGAAAGCGAAGGTACCCTATGGGGGAATACCTCAATCTCTAGAGGCAAGATACAGCCACAATGAGAGTGAGCCCCACAACATCCAACCGACAGGTACTCATGGACCAAATGCCGAGTCTGGTACCATCCTGCCTCCAATTTTTTAAAATCCCTCTAACCATCTCTTACCTCCATGAGAACAGCTAGGACAGCGAGGCCCTCTGACTTGTTACTGGCAGTGCTGCTGTTGGGGTACAGGTCCGAGTTATAGTGGACGATATGCAGCTGCGGTGGAAGAGAAGCTGCTCACAGGACACGGACGACTCCTGGGAACCCTTGGCTTTCGCAGGGGACTCAAAACCAGTGGGGAGGACACAACCCCTCTATCCCTACCCCGGGTAGATTAGGCCCCTCAGACCCTTTCCTTCATGGCCTCCCCAGTTTTCCCTTTTCCCTCATTGCTCCAGACCGAAAACTCGACCAGGGCAGACTGTCCATCTTACTCACTCATTGTATTCGTGTCTGATATGGTGCTTGGAAAGAACCAGGTATACAATAGATAGTGAATGAAGGAATGAATGAATGGGTTTTTATACTAGCCACAAAAAAAGCTTGGGTACTTTGGAGCACTTTTCTCTTCTGATTTCTTTTTCTTTCTTTCTTTCTTTCTTTCTTTCTTTCTTTCTTTCTTTCTTTCTTTTTCTTTCTTTCTTTCTTCTTCCTTTCTTTCTTTTTCTTTCTTTC